ATTCCATTGATTACATGGCAACAGATTGACTCGCATGTTGAAGGCGCTAATTTGGATTACGACATGTTGTGTAACGAAAACGCACGAGTCAACTTTGAAATGAAAGCTACAATGTTAGGGAGATGGAGTATGGAGTACTTTTTAATTCGGATCTCGCAGTGGTGTGCGGCAGCATTCTTGGTTCGTGCCGTACACAAGCAGAAGGCAAGCAGTCGTATCGTTCTGTGAAGCGATGATGTCAGAAACATCCTGAGGATTCCCCGTGAGAATATCTTGTTCGCGATAATCTGGTCTACCTTGCATTGTGAGCTTCTCAGGGCGGCCCAATTTGGGATATCCAGAATTCAACATTTACTGCAGGAAATCTTCGCAGATAAAGCACCTCTTGGCAATGGATGCAGCGAAAATCTTCAAAATTGCACCTTCCTGAGAAATTCTATTCCGTCCGGATGAGAGTTAAGCCTGTAATGAACGCGGATAAAGAGAAATGACAGGATATCAATGGATGTCAATGTGACGACGTTTGTCATATAGTGGAAACCACGTGTTTGCCGACAAGGCACATAATGTGCACATGGTGAAACACTGGTGTTAAAGTGAGGAATCGCTGTTGCCAATGTGCACGATTTCACTTTGGACGGTGGGTGAGAATGTAATGCTGCTGTAGAGTGTGTGTGTGTTTGGTGCCTCTGTTCTGGTTGGCGGGGTCTTTTGATTATTTTTGCGTCTGCAGTTTCCGCTTGCTTTGAACAGGGCATGCGGCACCGAGGTCGTTCTGATGAGTGCACTTTGTTGTTTGGGATAGATCAATGAATTACATACGTAATAAACAATAGGATTTTCGAATGGAAGAAATTGAGGTGAGGTGTTCTCCCTTGTATACTAATGTGGAAGGTTAATTGTGCGCTATTTTACAAATAAAATCCAGCAGAACCGAAAGTGCTCCAACGTGGACGCAGGTCGTAATATTAGGTCAGGACATTATTTTGACCTTCTTGTTCCGTTTCCTGGGAATTTACAGCATTCCAACGAAAGCACTTTTGCACACGCATCCAAAAATTTTAACTGCAACATTTAAGTTGAATACAGTTCAAACTGGAATGTATTTGTAATCTGTATTTGGAACAGTGCGAACTTTTTTCAGCGGCTTTCATGTGATGCTTAACTATTTGGAGTATTCTAAGGGACTTCACCAGGTCAGTTTGGAAATGAAGCCACGTGAATTGACTGGTCATCCAGCCGACAAATACCAACCACCTGATTTGACCCAATAGGAAATTTCCTCACTCAATATGAACATAGCAGTGCACAATGTGTTCGCACGTTTAGGTATCCTCAGCCGAACAGTGCTGCCATTAAGGACAAATATGTCATTATATAGGGGAGAATATCGGTATAGCTCAGGTATCGTAGATGGTCGTTGGCTTGTTCGCTGAGCTGGGCAATTTGGTTGCAAACGTTTCATCGCCAATCGAGGTGACATCATCAGTGCGTAGTTGTGTGTGGCGGTGGGTTAGTGGTTGTGCGTTCAGTAGTGGTACATGCGTGTGGGTATACGTGCTGGTAGCCGGGGATGACCTTTGACCGCGATTAGTTATTGTGTCGGGCGGTTCCATTGGTTGTTCTTTTGTCCCGTGTCCTCATTCGCCGATGCCCCCGTGACTTTTGAACTTGTCATCCCTCGCCGTCGTAATCTGGTCGATGTTGGAGTGACCTTTGT